AATTGGATATTTCCTTCTATACTTTTTAGCACGTAGCTATTTATTATTAGCATTGTTCTTCCGACGTCTGATTTCTTTTTAATTATAGGAAATGCGTTTTTTTAAGGTACATAAACTTTTGGGATTGATTGTATAGCCAATACATCCTTAAGTAGAGGAAGAAATGTATTGTAAAGATGTGTGCGTTTGCAGAAAATTACGTGGCGGAATTAAAATCGACCTACTCTGGCTTTCTGGTCAATAGCAATGCTTGCCGTATCCCATACGTTGATCCTTTCGATTCAAAGATGCTGCCATTTTACAAAAAGATGGATCCGTTGATTTGCAAACATGGGAGTCACCTGCCGCTAGTGGATTCGAATAACACGGCAATTTATATAAATCCGAATGCGATCTCTCATTTTTACAACGATTCGAAAGAAATAAACTGCTGTTGGCGTGCGATCCATCGAGTGCAGCACGAAGACAATGACGTTAAGTGAGTAAAATTAATTACTCTCGCTTTGCACCACCGTCATAGGTCGTAAATTGAAGCTACAATATTCCAATTAATTTATGAACCATATGTTTGCGTAGGTATGATACAGAATGCCATAAATTCGTGAACTCCGCGACCATCACTGATACAGAATACGTGAAGGTCGAATGTTCACAGAATAAAACGATGGTCTATAAAGATGTTTTCGCGTTCCTGCCTCGTTTTCCTTCGTTAGAAAAAAAATACAAAAAGAAGAAAACTGACTACCTCAACGTGTTAATAATCGGCATAGACTCTGTCTCGAGGAATAATTTTCACAGAATGATGCCGAAGACCGTCGAAATGTTGAAAAAATACGGAGCGGTGGAATTGTTGGGCTACACGAAAGTAGGCGAGAACACGTTCCCGAATTTAGTACCTGTTTACAGTGGCCTATCGATATCCGAGTTGGAAAAATTGTGCTGGCCGAAGAGAGACAAGACGTTCGACGACTGTCCGTTCATTTGGCAGAACTTCAGCGCGTCAGGTTACCGAACGATCTTCGCCGAGGATGCCTGCAGCATATCAACGTTCAACTACTTGAAACGCGGATTTCGCGATCCACCCACGGACTATTACTTGAGACCATATTGCATCGCATCGGAGAAGGAAATCGGTAACACGCGACCACTGAACGCGATGCTCTGTTTAGGGACACGAAAATGGTACGATCAGTTGTTATCGTACGCGAAGAAAGCAGCCATACAATTTATCGATGATCCATATTTTGCGATATCCTGGCAAACCAGTTTGACTCACGATTACTGGACTTATCCGCAATGGGGAGACCAAAGTTATGCCGATTTCGTCGCCGAAATGTTCAACGAGAAATTGCTGGAGAAAACGGTTTTGATATTTATGAGTGACCATGGTATGAGATGGGGTCCCTTCCGGCAGACTTATCAGGGTAGAATGGAAGACAGTCTACCGTTTTTATTCATCATGGCACCGCGCTGGTGGAGAGCGAAACACGAGGTCGCTTGGGCCAATCTCCGGAGAAATACGAGGCGTTTGACGACGCCTTACGATCTGCATGAAACCCTGAAGGATCTGTTGGATTACAAAAATTTGAAGGAATCGAGTTTGAAAAATCGGACCAAGGCGACGTCGGCGGGCAAGCAGTTGCCACGCGGGATCAGTCTGTTTCTGCCGATTCCTGACTACCGCACGTGTGCTACAGCGGGTATACCTAGTCGCTGGTGCATGTGTCATAATAGCTATGAAATTTCCACGGACGATAACAACGTTCGGGACATGGCATTTTACTTGGTATCAACGCTGAACGAAATGCTGAAAAAGTTCGCGCAGTGCGCGATTCTCAAACTGAAAGAGATAAGAAATGCGAAAGCGTGGAAGTACGAGGACGATGACCGGGTCGTCGATTACACGATCGTGATTGAAACAGAACCAGGGAATGCAATATTCGAAGCCACAATACGACACGAGACGAACAAGACCGACAGCGAATTGGTTGGTGCAGTTAGCAGATTGAACTTATATGGACAACAGAGTGCCTGTGTAAACGACTACAACATGAGACTTTATTGTTATTGTTTGTAGTTCATTATTTGGTCTAATCTTTTTATCCTTATTTGATGTTTCAATTGTTCTTCGTACACTGCTCCTCACGAGGAATATTATATTGGATATCGGTTTACGTTCAAAATTTCGATGAAATTATTACCGTAGCGCAAGAATAGATAGGATACTTGGATTAAGGGTGATGTATGACAGTTGTAAGCTTTACAAATTAACGTCAACTATCGAAATATTGATGTTAATGGTTAATTGAGTGCATGAGTATGCGAATGCACTTACGTGTTCATATTATATGTAAATATGTATGTATAATTTACTGAAGGAATCGTGCGTTATAAATATTCATTTACCCAGTGAGCAAGTTTCATAAGTAATCCTTAATATCACAAGTTAAATATTTTGTAAATAAATTTCTGAACGCATCTTTCTATGCTATTTTTATAGGACAGTCTGTCAAAGCATTGCATTAATAAATTAACAATTTTTAGAATAGAAGTTGATGAAAATAGAGAATTTGAAATCAAGATGACGTCTACGGTAAGTAGTATGCCTTTTCTCTAATTTTAAACGAATTGAAGAAATAACGTTTATTTAATGAAGATTAAACATGACATGAGATCAAAAGAACAGATTTCATAATTTGTATGCATATATTAACAAAGAATATAATAATAAAGTACCAGCCGTCAAATAATTTGCAATTTCTCGAACGACCATAACATGCTCGGAAAATGGAAAGAACAAAAACTCGATTATTTATACGATTTTTTTATGTGATTTTATGCTTTGTTCGACAAGAAATCGATTAGAGCGCTATAATTGTATACGTCCTACATATTTGGGTTTATCAGATATCACAATATGCTGGTAAGAATCACGATAAATATTTTGTTGGCGGACGGACGCTTATTTCCAGTCCATAATTTCCACATCAATTATTCACAACTGCTAAGAAAGAAACGTATCTTTGACATGGTTGAAAATTCTCAAGACGAGATAAGGACTAAAATAAACGTGTATGTGGCAAGCATAAATATAGGATGAAAAATGTACACTCGATTCGGAAGATGGACTTACACGACTCTTTATTATAGTATAACAAATGGAAATAAAGGAAGAATAGAATCAAGAATAGAATCGGTCGAAAGAAAAAGCAACATTTTTAACGTCAACTGTAGAATAATTCCAGAGAGCAGAATGTTTTAAAGAAATTTATATCTTCCTTAGACAATTTTCGATAACATAAAGCGGGCTAGGCAAGGAACGCGCCATTTCTAATTCCGGGTTGAATAAAAAAATGTGTAGGGTCTGAATGCTTAATAGGATGCTGGGGCTTTCTATGTGTATTGTCAATTAGTGAAGATATTATATAGTCCTAAATAAAATATTTTATTAAAAAAAGATATAATACATACAAAAATATAAGTATTAAATTATTTCATAAATAAATTACTGAAATCCCAGTTCATTTGGAAAAACTTCAGCATATCAGATTATCGAACAGTCTACGCCAAGAACGCCCGTCATATCGTAATGATGTTATTGATGTATAAAACTATACTATCCTATATTTGGATTCAGCATAATGCAATACACTGCTGTGTAACTGAGCGAAAGAGATGAAACCTACAGTGAATTAATGGGGATGTTAGCGATCAGGCGCGTGTGCATAACTCGGCAACCTAATAAACCGAATAATAACAATACAATATGTAATAACAGAGGTATTATACACTCGATTCGGAAGATGGACTTACACGACTCTTTATTATAGTATAACAAATGGAAATAAAGGAAGAATAGAATCAAGAATAGAATCGGTCGAAAGAAAAAGCAACATTTTTAACGTCAACTGTAGAATAATTCCAGAGAGCAGAATGTTTTAAAGAAATTTATATCTTCCTTAGACAATTTTCGATAACATAAAGCGGGCTAGGCAAGGAACGCGCCATTTCTAATTCCGGGTTGAATAAAAAAATGTGTAGGGTCTGAATGCTTAATAGGATGCTGGGGCTTTCTATGTGTATTGTCAATTAGTGAAGATATTATATAGTCCTAAATAAAATATTTTATTAAAAAAAGATATAATACATACAAAAATATAAGTATTAAATTATTTCATAAATAAATTACTGAAATCCCCGTTCATTTGGAAAAACTTCAGCATATCAGATTATCGAACAGTCTACGCCAAGAACGCCCGTCATATCGTAATGATGTTATTGATGTATAAAACTATACTATCCTATATTTGGATTCAGCATAATGCAATACACTGCTGTGTAACTGAGCGAAAGAGATGAAACCTACAGTGAATTAATGGGGATGTTAGCGATCAGGCGCGTGTGCATAACTCGGCAACCTAATAAACCGAATAATAACAATACAATATGTAATAACAGAGGTATTATATTTAGTATGAATTAATTGTATACTCATGTTAGGATTTTTGGGTAATTGGGTTATCACTGCTCTTGTTTTTGAATGAACTGTATTGTAATTTTTGTAAATAAATTATACAGAGTGGTACCGAATAAACCTTAACATACAAATCAATGCCTAATTTAGTACGAAAATTTTTAAATGCAACTTCACAGTTTGTGAGTAAAACGTTTTAATGAAATAATTCCAATGTTTGTTACCGATAATGAATACTATTGTACATTTTATTGCAAATAATATCGATAGAAAAATCGTGATACAATACTTCTCTGATGGTTTGTATCTGGATACTGAATCCAATACATATTTAATTACACGGTCAGTGAATTCCTTTTTCTGCCATGCAAATGCAAAATTTCTGCTGGTGTAAAATCATTCACACATCACCCACGCACGCAGAATGTAAAATAACTTATTTCATTCAATAGAATAATAGAATGCTTAACCATTGCTGAACATCCATCAGAAGTAATTGGCAATAATACACATCACCAGTTTCTTACAGCTAGCAGTATAGAGACGTCTCGCAGAGACATTCGACAAGACTTGCAACGTTTTGGCTTGGCTCAAGTCGTGTGCAGTTACTATATTTTTGCGATCGGACATGGACGTTCTCGAATTTGCAGCTCGCTCTCGCGCCTCATGACAAAAAAAGTCAACTCAAAGTCGAGAGTTGACGAAGTTGGCGCGATGCAAGTGCCTTGCCTCGGCGTGACTGTACTGCTAGCTTTACAATCAAAGTGGAAGTACGTATACTTACAATGGTTATGCCCTGGCTACATGTATTCACTTTGACTGATCTAACGGATGGCTACCAAACCTGTTGGTATCCACTTCTCAGGGAAGCAAGGACGTCACTTGGTATAGAAACACACGAAGTTCACGCATGCACTTCAATTATATGTTACACTCTTTAATGTCACTTTGAACATTGCACTTAAAATTCTTAGAAACCACCTAATGCATTGTAAATTCGATTTACAGACTTCTGTTGAAGTAATTTCTTTATTTCTGAAAACAAAAGCAAGGAAAATGATAATACTTGTGTATACCGAGATGTGACGAAAATAATTAAAATGACTTACCTTCTTTTTGCGCATCTGTGAAGTCCGTTTCAGGGAATGCAACATCAAATGTAATATACAAAGTACCATGGACATTGTTATTCTCATAATTAGGCATTCCTTCATCCTTTTTTCTAATACGGGCTCCCGGTTTTGTTACCTTGTCCCTTTGGATAGACACTTTGTGGCCGTCTAAGTGCTCTATGTCCATTTTAAAGCCTATTAGGGCATCTTGCATAGATATAGTAATGTTCGTATGTAGATCGTCGCCAATTCTTTGGAAAACTGGATGGGGTTGTGTTCGTATTTTCAAAATTAAATCGCCCGGTTCACCGTCCAAATGCGGTTCACCTTCTGCCGTAAATTTAATTTCTTGCCCATCTACCATACCAGGTTCTACTTCTACCTCTAATATACGTTCCTCAGTTACAAATTTAACATTTGGGCATTCTGAACACACTGACTGTTGCATCATGTGGAATCTACCATTCCCTAAACTACGAGTAACTAATTCTTGCCTACAATTACATTTCCTAGTTCCTTTCGCTGTCTTCATTACTGGCTTATTTCTTGTTATCTGCAAGGAATAATATACACATACGTTGTCGTGTCACTTATATATTATTCAATTAAATAGAAAAACTTACCTCTATGAAATTTCCACTATACAATTCTTCTAAAGTAACTACTAAATCCATCACAATGCTAGAACCTTTAGGTGTTTCATGTTGATGAGAAGATTCTCCACCAAAGTCGAAACCAAAATTATCGAAAAATCGTTGAAAAGGATCTTCATTGTTCATCATACCATCCTTCTTCAGACATTCTTCTCCACATCTGTCATATATTTCTCTCTTCTCATTGTCCGATAGAACTTCATAGGCAGCACCCAGATCTTGGAATTTCTGGGACGCACTTGGATCATCTTTGTTCTTGTCAGGATGTAATTCTTTTGCCAGCTTCCTGTAGGCCTTTTTTATTGCATGTTGGCTGGCCGAAGAAGGTACACCTAGAATGGCATAAAAATCTCTCCTGCGAATGACATATACCTTATCAGTTTCATAAAGTTTATTGTGATTATAAAAATGCCCAAAATGATTACAGACAAAAATTATACAATGAACATCTAGATACATATGTTTGTTTAATAATTGTTAAGTAATTCATTCATAGTTTACAAAATAATAGGTTATGAACTTATCGTACAATAAAACGCTCTCATTAAAGGTAACAATGTTTAACAAAGAAAAATTAATTATTTTTTTACTTGCCCTGCCACAGATAGAACCACGCATAATGTCAAATTTATTAATAAAGACCAAATCAGTTTTATCGCTGCCATCCTAGCAGACGTTACAACAAACACATCGATGCTTAGATCGTGGGTACTTCTGATTGGCGCAGAGACATAGGCTTCATTTTACGTGATTCTGGGCGTACACATATTAAACGAAAATGTTTACATGTGACATATGTTAGCAAAAAATGATTGGCCAACATATTATAAATACTTAAATACTAATTAAAACATCACAAATATCAGATATTAATTCAGATGTGATATTTCATATTAGATTTAGTATAGTAGAGAAAAAATACAATTATTAAAGATCGGCATAATGTCATTTAATCATGACTATAGCCCCGCTGTTTTTATTTCTAAACTATAAACCGTTGGACTTACGAGAAAATTGCATGAGACATTATTTGTAGCTGGCAACTAAAGCTACAACTTTTGTGGGAAACATTTTTCGCTAGCGTCAATAGTTAACGAGTAATTAGTAGAAAGCAAAAGAACAGTTCATTGCAAATTACTTGTCAACTATTGAGGGTAGCAAAAGATATTTCATACGAAACTTGTAACTTTTCACAGTACCTACAACTTCTGTTTCAACACCGAGGATAAATGAGACATTCGCAAAAAAATCTTGCCATAGACAATTTTACTTATTAATTAATTATTGAAGTTAGCGAAAAAATTTTTATACAGATGTTGTAGGTACTCATATTGAATTTTGATTACTTAAATTGTAGAATTTTTCTGTGTCGCAATCTGTGGAAGCTTGAGATAACGTGCACGAACAGTTAACAGCTGTAGAAAACATATCGACATCCATTTTAACATACATATTTTCAACATTTTATTTTATTCGTAACATTGAGATATGTTGCACTTTCTTAAATTCCAGTTTTCATAAACTGTTTCCAAAATCATTGATTATTAGTGAAAATACTGCCTGCCTTTTCTTAAATAATTTATATCATAAAACCATCTATTTCGAAGTACCCATCATTTGAAGACTAATTGTCTTACAATTAGAATTACACAATTAATATTTATTTTACCACTTCAGTATGATAGTGTCGATACTTATGACACAAGAAAGGAGCTACAGAGTACGTCGTCGTTGGGAAGAGGGAGTTGCGATACCGAATGCGCATTTTAATCAAGATCATGATTTAATCATTTTGCTGACAATGAGCTAATCTCGCTTCCAAGTTGTATTACTTCTTTCTTCTTTAAACACAACATTAATAATTGTAGTGAACAACAAATGTACCACTTAACAAATTTTTATTGATACCCAGAAGTAGCAGTAGTCCTTGTCTCATTACAGGTATTGAATAATATTGAGCATTGTCTATAATATTGCAAATGTGCAAGAATAAGCATATGCATGCATGATTATTTTCAACGATTTCGATATCGTTTTTCTCGCCTTTCGGGAATCGTAACTAAAACGAAATACACAATCGACGTGGCATACACGTGTAACCGGATTGCTTAATTGACTCTATTTCATAACACGTTATCTCGTTATCATGGCCCTTTGGGCTGATGATTTGGTGGCGTGCAGAAAGTCATTTCCATGGTACGCCTGTACGTCGCAGCGAGTACACGCAATGCGAACTAATTACGCAGTTTACTATTACCATTCCACTTTTTTTTCATCCTTCACGAAGACAAAAAGATGCAGGATCCAATCAAAATCTCAATTAAAATACAACACCCTGCGAAAGCCTGGAGGCGATGATAAATTGTGGAAAAAATGAAGCGGACATGTGTCGAGGTAATGAGAATGGGATTTGTCTTTGACTCAGGTATTAATTAAAGTGTGCAAACAAAGGCTACTTTTAACGAGCCGTCGATGCCGAGCGCACGATATTCCCTCTGTTAATACCGCGTAGCTGGAGCTTCGTAATAGCGAATAATGAAATCCACGGGCATCGTTTCACGGGAAGATTGGAAAAACTGTTTAAAATTCAAATGAATGCGGATCGTCGCGGGCCAACGCAACGCAAACAGCGCGATATAACCGGACCGCCGCAGTGCACCGCCGAAACGCTCGCTTCGCGATCGAGTTTCGCAAGTTTTATTCGCGAACGGTGGCTGTCCATTTTTTAATTGGCTTACAATTGATTCCGTATTACTCTGGATTCAGGTGTACCTGCCGCCGTTTGATCGTTATGAAACCAAAGAAGATCGTTCGAAAGTAGCGAAATTAAAATGTCATTCGGCTTTATGGCCAGGCAAATCGGGTGAATAACGAAAAAGGAGCCAATCTGACGTGAATTCACGTTGGGAAATGTCGCGGTACGACCTATTTCTACCTCGATAATACACTTTAATTTACATTTTTTTAATCAAGTTGAAGTACGTGTAGACATTTGAAAAAGTGTAATATTCGCCGGATGGAGAGTCTGAAGTGCATAGTAGCGAAATTTCATAGCTGAGACGTTTTAATCTTAGAGGTTTACGTTCGCGGAGAAAAGTGATTTGAAAGTCGTTTAATGAAATACAATTAGAATAATCGTCCACTCGATTCTCCTTTATGTACGATCGTCCGAAATCTGGCAAGAAATTCAAATAAAAATGAAAGTATAATTAAAAAACAGAATGATCATGTAAAGGGGACGAGTATTTCATATTCCATTAACAGTAGATCGAGACGTTAACTTTCTAGGCATGACCCTGCCGGATATTTCCTTGATGTTTATTAAAATTTTCGGCGCATCACCGTAGACGGAGGGGCAACTCTTTTTGTCATGCATAACCTCGGCCAGCTCAAAGGGAAGCTCCTAAAAACGAAGACCGCGACGAGGCTGTGGAGGAGGAAAAAACGGGTTGCCACTTTTCGCAAGGTGGGGGAGGAGAGCCGTCGTCTCCTGTAACGGGATGTGAAGTTTCGATGCGACGACGAAGAGCATCCTTAAACGAAACTTTTCGGTCGCCGGAGATAGCCTCCGGATTATTACGCCGGGAACTTTTCGCCGGAAGTCGCGGCAGCGAAGGAAACGCGATTCATATTCATGCTCAAAACGGCATTTTTACTGATCTCCAATGGTTCTTATAGAAATCACTGAAACACAGATCCATTTAGCCAAGTTGAAGAACTGCCTGCAGCTACTGCAATTGTAGATTGGGGAAATCAATCACATTTAATGGATTTATTGAAAACTTCAAACCAGGCCATATCAGGCATAACCCGTGAAGTCTGAGCACAATGTTTTCAATAATTGTAACCCAGACCATTTGGTTATTCGGAATTCTTCAATAATGTTTACGCAATTACCGTGGATACTATCTGGAACGATTTCTACAGGAATGTTTTGTCAGGTGGTCGAGCGAGATATACAACATTGATTCGAAACGTTCTCCTTCGCCTTTTATCCAATCGTTAGTCATCAACTTTTCTTTTGCTCCTATAAATGTCGGAGAGTCGCCGGACTCGCATGTTACAAAAATAAGTCCAGTTATTATGTGCCTACGTAACCAATCAGAGATCTTGCGCACACGCGAGAGATCTGGGTTCAGCTTGTTATTAGCGCGGCCACTGGAAAACGCGTTTGTTCGATTGATCGATTTTAATCAGGCTCGCGTCGGATTTTTTCAGCCCGATGTTCGGATCGACGAGAGCTCCACAACGAATGAAGAGATTAAAACGAGATTTAGGACCGCGGTTTTTCTACTGCGCTACGTAATGAAACCGAGATTTATCGCGCACTTTGCGTACTGACATTTCTCCACGTGCAACGACGCAGTGCAACGTGCAGATACGCAGAGATAAAGGAATCGCGGCGCATTCGGCTACCATCGACCATCTGATGTACGCGAAACAGTAATAAAATATGCCAAGAACGCGAAGCAATCTTGCGCGATAAACAATCTCTCATACCTGAGAAAAATTTGCATACGCCGTATGTTGTACAACGCGTAACGCGAATCACAAAAGAGTGCGAAAGGGGATATGTGCATTCTGAACATCCGGCGGAATCTCCGTTATTTACACGAGTTTTGATTACCGTGTGGCATTGCACAGTAGTGTCTACGTACGTACGTGCGTACGTGCAATACAAATATGGGACAATTAAGGAGCTCGGGTTGTAGATAAAATCGTAATTACAGTGACGAAGAAACACGATAACCGCGGGCGTCTGCTTCTACCATTAGCCACGGCAACGATTTAATCATGTTAAACAGAAATTTAGATAACGTTTTACCTGACAGCACGTAAGCGTCCGCATCAGTTCTTATTTGTGGAGCTTTACTATCAAATCGTACCAGTAGATCTAAAACCAACGATTTAATAGAATTTATGCAATGATATAGAATTTGAATTAAACAAGCCAACATTGAAATGGACATGCCTACGTGTCCTATACTAAAAGCTTGAAGTATGAATTTATTTATTACACTGGCATGCGCGTACATTTACTGAATTAACATATCTGTCATAATGTACGCAAATCTACGTGTCCATATATTGCGTACGTATAATTCAGAGAAATACTCGTCCATATTTTTATGGGAAATGTATTCAATTTCTACGAAGCATCACCTATCGTCACGATTACCAGAATTTTTTTAAGTAGCCCATAACTGGATGGACATCTCGTACAGGTGACCCACAAATTCAACGGCAAGTCGCTTAATCTGTGTACCTGACTTCGTCGAAAAAACAGGAGGACAGCGGCGCGGGAGTAGTGGCTCACAAATCAAACTGAATTGCCGTCGCAGCGAGCAACCAATTTTTTAACCGTATCCTGGCAAAGAATCTAACTCGGTCGCTTCTTCCTGCGGCGAGTGTCATTTTATTGGTTAACACGCGTTTCTAGCACGATTCACGGAACCGAATGCCGGACTTTGTTACCTGCTCGTGCATGCGCTTACACGCAGGATGTTCATGCGACATGCGATACGCGTTACAATCCCGGATAAAAGGAATAAAAGATGCTAAAAATGAACAGGAAACAGCGAGAGCCAATTCGTACATTTCTATTGTTTTAATTTTAATTATCGTAATGCATATGTGATTCAAATTGAATTTCATAATTATTCTTTCAGACATGTAATAAATTTGAAATTGATAACAATGAACTGTATTTAATATTTTATGGC